TGACGATTCTAATGGATTCACAAGTTTCAAAATCAATGTTCTAAAGCAGCGGTTCCTAATCCTGTTCCTCACATCCCCTGCTCTGCACACGCTCTGCTCTGCATCTCTCTCTCTCTCTCTCTCATTCAGATCATCAGCTCAGTGAATACACTTATTTTCACATACTATAGCTACGAGAAGCGTTATACATGGACGCGCGTGCGGTTGCCGTAATGTATTAAAGCTTTAATCAGGATACAACCGTATATTGAAAGCTAACATAAGCAGTAGCATTTACAAATAACAGCATATCTAAAAGTATGAGACAATAACAAACAGGGACGTTTAGAGGCGGTTTAGACACTAGAGGCGGTTTAGCCAATCACAACACACTGGGCTAGCTAACCAATCAGAGCCCATCGCCCATTTCTGAGGGCGGGGCTTCATAAAAGCAGGAAATGAACAGCCCGTTTCTCAGAGAAGGGACAGAGTGGTGTGGAATAAAGCTAAATTATGTGAAAAATAATGCGTTTTTTTTAAAACGAAGCATTAACACATGTTAGACTGCACCCCATAAACACAATCAAGCCTAGAAAAAAAAAACAGTGAACCACCCTTTTAAGGTATAGTTTCTACTATAGAAAGTAGATGTAACATGAAACACGAACACTTTAAGATAAAGTGATACCAATTATTTTTCTCAAATGATTAGTAAATTTCTCTAAAACAAGTTCAATACTTAAAACAAAACATGGGCAAGAACCAATATCTTTATAGGTACAGTAGTCTGCTTTATGACATACCTCAATTAAAAATTAGAATTACTAAGCACAATTAGTTCTGAATGATGCTGTTACATATACCATACTGAACAAATATTATAAAACTGAAAACATCAGAGAAGTAAAGTAAAGGCCACTGAGTCAGAGGGTTTGTATCACCTGTATAGTGCACATGATTGTTTCTGGCGTTTCTGCTATATCTTGTGTTTCTGGAGTCATACTGCTAATCAGCGGATCTGAAGAGGGGCACAGCCAGGTCTCTAAAGGTCAAACACACAAATCACTGGAATCCAGAGAGTCCGATTTGCATAACAGCACATTTATAGTGTAGTACAGAGGATAGTAAATGACAGGGCAAGTACTAACTTGGACCAAGCAGAGGAACAAGATGATCTGATAGACTGTTAAGGGTGTAAACCCATGCGGGAACCAATAAACAGACAGGCAAAACATCCCTGAAAGAAAATTAAGTGTAGCAGATGTCAGATAATACAAAAAAAAAACATTATTTATAGCATTATTTATATCGTAAGTTCAAAGTAACTTCAAAAGTAACTATTTTTAATAAAGCAAAAACATAAATATGATTTAACACCACTGATCCAACCTTAATACAGCCTTTATACCAACAAACAAACTTTTAATCAGGTTTAATAAGGTTCAAATATTTCTTTAATGTAACAATTACAGGCTGCCCCTTAAAAGTTTAATCTTATGCCAAATTACAATTTTAAAACAAACAGATTATTGATTATTTGAGATTGTTTGTCCGACATGGTAACCAAAAATTTGTAACGTCTAAAATTACTGGTTTTATTCAAGTCAAAAATACTATTTAACATCACTGAACCAACCTATATACATGAATTTATACCAACAAAACACATTTTTATGGGTGGAATCATTGCAAGTTACCAGTTGTTGTTTTTTACAGTGCATAGAAGATTTAATATAATTTACTATCCAACACGGGTGCACAGAGTTTCCTGTGATAACATCCTGTTACCAAGCAAAACAGACGTGCTTCCTTATCAATAGCTGCTAGATAAAAATAACTCAGCCCCACCTGCTCACTGTGTAGAAGTGCAGCAGTTGAAAGAGATCAGGGAAAGCCAGGTGTGATGCCGTCAAGTGAAGAGCTATGAAAGAAAAACAAAAAGACAAGAGAACTAACTGAGTCAGACTAGCACTATGAGTAATAGAGAGAAACTGGACAGACTAGTCATGAACTTCAAAAGTACACAGATGTAATGAGGAAATAGGAATACTGTAGGGTTCAGGATGTGAATTTTATCAGCATGCACAAATAGAGAACAAACTACTGTGCAGAAGAGTTTACTGAACTTTGCACAAACGTCTCATGTAGCCTACATTGCACAAACTATTCCCACACTGTCCTTCCCATGTCAGCGTGTAACAGGAAATGTAGAAAACTTGCATGCTTTAGAATTGCATTATGACTGACTATGCCTGGCAGCTCATTCATTTCCTTGCTAAAAAAAAAAATGCTCTGAGGTTGCTCTTTCATATGTCATGAAACTTATACATGTCTCATAAAAATCTAAATAAATAAACTTAAAAAAGGACAAAAAAACAACAACAACAACTGGACAGTAATAGTATGCAGCTATAAAATGTGGACAGCATAGCTCAGATAATTTGATCATGGAGGAGTTGACAACGTCATGAGAACATGTTGATCATGACAAATGCTTGAGGTCATGTTAAATTCTGACTTGTGATTGCAAACTTGGGTATAGCATATCTGAGCAGCAATCAAAGATGAAAAGGCTTTTTGGTACCTGTTCCAGTGCTTAAGATAGGGAATTCTTTGACCGGCTCCCCTCTGTCCCCCACAGACACACACAGAAGCTGGTCTTGAGACGAAGAGTCTTGGACCACCAGGAAACTCTGTAAATGAACAGCTATTTAACAGTCATTTCGCTGTTATGCTTCGAGCATTGAGGATCAAAATATCATGGAGAATAATGTATCACTGTCATATTTCTATAAACGAATTAGATGAGCACTCATTTGAATAAGCAATACAACAACCACTGAATTCAAGGAAATGCTCACTTTGTGGGTAAGCACTCTTACAAGAGGAAGTCAGTGCACACTAAAGTTTGGTGCCAAAAAAATCTAAACATAGATGGCAGTGAAAATTACTTTAGTTATTAGCATTTATTTAGCTGATTAAAACCTATCATGGATATGCTTCTAACATATACACAGCAGCTACCTTTCATTCAAATTCAAAATATAAAAAATAACGTTTCAAGAACTTTGTTTGAGGATTTAGCTCCTTTACAATGACCACAAAGGAAGTGAAATGAGACCTCTGATAATTGACATCACTCACTAGTTATATAGACTGTAAATATGAAAGCATATTTCATGGTTTTGAAATGTGGAGGGGAAAAAAACGTCACACACACACACACACACACACACACACACACACATAGACTTTCAACATATGTCAACACTTCTGTAAAATGTTAAACATTAGATACTTGGATACTTTATTCAAAACAAAGCCAAGATTTTAAAAGAATCATCTTTTGTTTATTTATTTTATATTATGTAATCTTGTATTTTTTCATCATTCTTTTTAAAGACACAAATGAGCGTTATACCAGCAAAAACACACACCAAAGTAAAATTCTATAAAGTTAGAAAACACCAACATAAATCATCACTTCCACAAACTCTGGAATAGGTCTTTATCTGATCTTACACCACCACTTTGCCTCTCCTTAAGAGCTCTTGCAGTCATCCTTTATGCAAGCTTATCTAACGCTACTTCTGCAAATATCTGCAACATAACGGTAGTTTTTATTCTGTAGAAAACAAAAACTAAACTTCAGTTAATGGTGCTAGTTAGCCTGTACTACACTACACTGCCAACCATTAAGGAAAAGTTCAACCAAAAATAAACATCTGCTGAAAATTTATTCAGGCCATTGAAGATCAGAACCGATTTGGAGAAATTTAGCATTACATAATTTGCTCAACAACTGATCCTCTGCAGTGAACAGGTGCCGTCAGAATGAGAGTTGATATCACAATAATCCAAGTAATCAACATGACTCTAGTCCATCAATTCATGTTGCGTGACAGGAAAAGCTGCATGTTCGTAATAAACACAGATCCATCAAGATATTTTAACTTCAGACCATTGCTTCCGGTCCTCTATTTGTAATATTGCTTTCTACAGTGAAAAAGTCAACTCGTCTGAATCAAGAGAGAAATATGCACTGATCAAGCACCATTTACACACAAAAAACTGTTGGTACAGCAGATTTTGATGTGAGAAGACAACAGGGGATGGACTGTAGGAAGCATATTATGGAGTCGTATTTTGGTCAGTAGCAACGTTTTAATGTTAAAACGCCTTTAAGGACAATTGGTTTCTTATGAACACGCAGCTTTTTACTTCACAACATTGTAACTGATGGACTGTATAACTGTAACATATGTTTTTATCTACATCTTGGATGGCCTGAGGGTTAGTACATTTTTCAGAAAATGTTTATTTCAGGTAAACAATTCCTTCAGTAATTTCAATAACATTATTCAGTCCCTCTAGTGATTAAAAAAATAAAATAAGAAAACTGCATGCGTCTTCCGAAAGAACATGGCTTGGCAATGATTCTCTGCACGGAAGAATGTGGTTTGAGGCACCCGTGTACAAATATAGGACCTCTTATATGAAACACTAAAGTAAGCTACTTTCTGTGATGTAATGTGCAAGACTTCCGATTCATTAGCCGCTATAGGTAATTAACTAGAAGTGCAGTAAATGGTAAAACTATTTGCGCTACAGACCAGTTTGTTTATGAAAACTATAATAAATTAAAACAATGATAAGAAATACCCGTTTGTAATATTATATGCAGCATATGTTTTTTTTTTTAAATAACTGGAAGCGGCTAAAAGAACTGCAAACATATGGCACTGAAGCCTCCACATTAAAAGGTACAAATGGCTCTAATATGTTAATGGACATTGATGAACAAATGGGATAAATGTCAAGAGAAAGGAAAAGATGGATATTTAAAAACATGCCATCTGAGCAGGTAAGTGACATTTTTGTTCATTGTAACAAACTTTCAGCTTTCAGACCAGTTTTACCTCCTGTGCACACCGGATACTACACGCAAGGGCGAATGACATGCAGTACATTCACAAAGTATTCAGACCCCCTTCACTTTTTTCAGTTTTGTTATGTTGCAGCCTGATACTACAATTGTTTAAATTAAAAGAAAAAACTGAAATATCACATTTACATAAGTACTCAGTACTTAGTTAAAGCACTTTTGGCAGCATTTACAGCCTCGAGTCTTTTTGGGTATGACGCAACAAGCTTTGCACACCTGGATTGGGGGATTTTCTGCCATTCTTCTTTGCAAATCCTCTCGAGCTCGGTCAGGTTGGATGGGAACTGTCGGTGGACAGCCATTTTCAGGTCTCTCCAGAGATGTTCGATAGGGTTCAAGTCAGGGCTCTGGCTGGGCCACTCTAGGACATTCACAGAGTTGTCCCTAAGCCACTCCTGTGCTGCCTTGGCTGTGTGCTTAGGGTCATTGTCATGTTGGAAGGTGAACCTTCGGCCCAGTCTGAGGTCCTGAGCACTGTGGAACAGGTTTTCATTGAGGATATCTCTGAACTTTGCTACATTCAGCTTTCCCTCAACCCTGACCAGTCTCCCAGTCCCTGCCACTGAAAAACACCCCCACAGCATGAGGCTGCTACCAGCACACTTTACTTATGGGATGGTACTCTGCAGGTGATGAGCAGAGCTGGTTCCTTCAAACATGATGCTTAGAATTGAGGTTCATCAGACCAGATAATCTTGTTTGTCAGAGTCTGAGGGTCCTTTAGGTGCGGTTTTGCAATTTCCAAGTGTGTTTCCATACGTCTTCACTGAGGAGAGGATTGAGCCCAGACCACTGGAGTGTTACAGTGATGTTTGTCTTTCTGTAGGTTTCTTCCATCTGCATATATGATCATGGAGCTCAACTAGAGTGACCATCAGGCTCTTGGTCACCAGTCTAGACAAGGCCCTTCTCTATAAATTGCTTAGTTTGGCTGGGTGACCAGCTCTGGGAAGAGTCCTGGCTGTACCAAACTTCTTCTATTTGAGAATTGTGGAAGCCACTTTGCTCTTGAGAACATTCAATGCAGCAGAATTTTTTTGAAGCCTTCCCCAGATCTGTGCCTCGATACAATCCTATCTTTGAGCTCTGCAGGCAGTTCCTTTGACCTTATGGCTTGGTTTTCACTCTGATATGCATTATCAGCTGTGAGGCCTTAGAGAGGCGTGTGCCTTTCCAAATCATGTCCAATCAATTTAATTTACCACAGGTGGACTCCAATCAAGGTGTAGAAACATCTCAGCAATGATCAAGAGAAATGGGAGGCACCCGAGCTAAATTTCAAGTGTTGTTGCAAAGGGTCTGAATAGTTATGAAAATAAGTATTTTAGTTTTTAGTTTTTAAGTATTTATTTTAGTTTTTTCGTTTTAATAAATTTACAGACATTTCTACAATTCTGTGTTCACTTTGTCTTTATGAGGTACGGAGTGTAGATTAATGAGAAAAAAAAAAAGAATTTAAACAATTGTAGTATCAGGCTGCAACATAACAAAATTGAAAAAAGTGAAGGGGGTCTGAATACTTTCTGAATGCACTGTATGTGTCCAGTTTCCCTCAAAGTCCACCCCAACAGCTTTAAAATAGCCTATATCATTATTACAGGTTTATCAAAGCTTTAGCTTTATATTTAAGTTAGCTTTAAAATGAAAAGATAATTGTTTTTGTCACACCTCAAGGACCTGTTTTGTTGTGTTTCCTTCCCCATGTGTTCAGTAGACCTAGTTTTCCATCTATGTCTGATTGTCATTTGGTTCAGGTGTGTCTTGTTAATTATCTTCATTTACCAATGTCTTTAAGTTGTGTTCAGTCCTGTGTTGCCTCATCCAGTCTACTACGTCCCTACGTGTGTTTCCTGCCTGCTCTGTCCTGGATTTACCCTTGTGTGGATTTATTGAAGAGTCTTTGCATTTCGTCTTCCTCGTGCGTTTCATTCCACCGTAGCGTGACAGTTTTACAGCACAGTTATAAACAGGAAATTATGACAACCTCTACCGTAAATCAATCACTGAATAAACTTCTCCCTAATAGTGCACTAAAACTATGCTTCCACTATGCACGTAGACAAAGAAATGGCTTATATTAAACAGGGAAATTCCAAATGGAACAGTGACTTCCCACAATATAGTTTTATAAAATAGTATCAATTAAAATGCAATAATTCTTAGGGTCCTATTTTTGTATCCACAGTAGGCATGGGTTATGCGCTACAACTACCTATGTCTATCCCCCAGCCTCAGTAAGACTAGATTTGATGGAATTTGAAAAAAAAGTTAAATTATTGAATTATGAGTTATATTTCAAGTTATATTTAACTAAAACTACTTTGTTTGATTACTGACAACATCAAGGTTTTCGGGAATACTGCTGAAACAGTTAATTAATTAGTAAGCACTGATAAAAAGGAAGGCACCCACCCCAGCAGGTCTGCCCCACAGAGCGGCGTGTGCTCCATGACTGTCCCAGGGACTTTTGGGAGCCCACGCATCCTGACACAACCGTAAACCTTTCAGCAGACTCAGGAGTTTTGTCTTATCTTTGGAGACCCCGTTGGGTACCGTGCTAGCAGCATTTTCTCTATTGATAAAAAAGTGTTTAATCATGCTATTGAAGAAAATCATTTTAAAAATGCACATGGAATAAAATGGTGATTACATTTACTGAAGAATGTATCCTTGTTCTCTCTCACCTGTTCTCACTGGTTGTGAATTCATCTTTTGATTCTTTCATCATCATTGGTCCAACAGAATAGCGATGGACCTGTTCAGGAAATCTGTTCTGTTATAAGCTCCTCCATTTTAGCTATGTTGCTGTAACCCTGTTGAAATTTAGAAATAGAGAAACAAAGGAAATGAAGAAATATCTCCAACCCCACATCCTTTCATTTGTATTTTTCGTTCACTCTTTCTTTGTCACAGTTCTTTGTTAACAGCTGTGTTTTATCAGTGGTGAAATCTAAAGTCCGATTTTTATTTTTAATATGAAGGAGGAGTAATGAGCAGCTTTAAAATTAGATTTAGATAAAAACAAAAAACAAAATCCTTTACAACTTGTTGAACATTTAACAAATTATCAAACATTTGGGCACACATTGTTACTCATTATTGCTATTTATCACTTTAGAATAATAATACTGTGGATGGATCATGTATGAATGGTTAAATTAGCATGCAGTATAAACTCAAGCTAATACTTCATGATACATAAATATTAGTGAATAAAAAAAGTTTTGCTTTTTTTATAATTTGTCTCAGAAGTTTACTTTCTGTTGGTATTAAAATAGCAACATCTCCACTTTAAAAATTAGAAATGCTGATTTGATTTTCGGAATTCTGACAATTATTACATTAATGTCAAAGTACTAAAATTGCCCTCATTATAACACAGCTTAATACTTAAAATCAATTAAAATATGTGTTAATCTAAGTTCAACATAGCCACAATTATATCATAACTGTGATATATACAGTAAGTTGTCTGAATTTAAATGACCTTTTCTGGGACAAAACATCAAATGAACATGAAACACTTTTTTTTCACATGTAGGCCTTTATCTGTTAGCTTTAGTTTATTTCTGGTCTCAGGTTTCTGTATTGGATTATCTTTTGAGTGTCATATGCGAAATATAATTATTTTGTCATCACCTTGAACTGTGAGTTCAGTTGTCATGAATAGGAACTGACCATTTGAGACAGCCCATCTTCTCAGTTTATTATACTCCATGTTTAATGTAAATATTTATAGTATTTTTTATTCATGGCAGTGTTTTTTTGTTTTTGTTTTTACCTCTAACAGTTCTGACATTTCTGTAGAAAATGGAAGAAGCAGGAGATTGTTCCCAAATGTAAAACCTACAGTAAACACCTCTGAACATCATAATGCCTTGATAGGCTATGGCTACATACAGTAAACTTTAATTTTTATTTTTTGTTACTTCTAAAGGCTATTTTAGCCCATGTCTCAAGAACAAGTAACTCACTTGTAATAATGCAAACAGAAGTCAGAGTTGAACTCGCATGTGTTGTCTTCAAAATGTCCTCCTACATGAAGAAAAGACTGAGCATCTCTGAAAGCTGCTCCAAACACCTCCACACACTGCAGGTTCACGTGTGGGGTAACTGACACTCCTCATTACGAATCTGTCGTGTACTTCGTCACGTCGTCGTGAGATTCACTTTTGCTCCTGTGATGTATGAAATGTTCAAGGCATCAATTTCAGTCACATTAAAGTTCAGTTTGAGCTTAAGAGTGACAGTAATTGATGATGCTTTTTGTGTGTGCCTCACACCATAAGCTCCACCCATATTCATGGTTGTGGTAAACCTCACAGTGAAAACTTGACAGTGATAGAAGTAGGATGTCACATACAGCAGAAAGATTATAGCTAAACGAGTGTTACTTTCATATGTAACAGTATCACGCAGCTCAGTTCAAATCGGTTTCATTTTAGTCAAATCAACCAGCAGTTACAAAATAAAGTAAGTGTTACTAATAAAGCAATAACAAAGTGCATATTACTACTGTACTGCTCAAAGCATCAGGTAAGCAAATTATAGTGTCATACTCATGCTAAAAAGTGAAGGACCTGGCATATAAATTGAGGTTGGCCTGTGTGTGTTATGCAGTCATACACACAGTCACTAGGGGAACAGTTGTTTTATGTCATAGCTGTTATTTACTATAGATATATTTTTGCATGGCTGGAATGCTGTGTTGACTAATCAGCATCCAGGACCAAACTATCCTTTTTTTTTTTTAAATAACTATTTTAATGCCTTTTGACAAAATCCCACCACATGCATACACGGTACAAAAACTCTTGAAGGTTTCATCTTTCATTCTAGTTTCTTCACATAAGGTTGCATTGGGCTCAATCAGATATCATACTTTGTAATGTTGTAAAACACTGTTAGGCCAACTTTCTCTTACACAATTGAGCCACAGGCGCAGATATCATTCCAAACCAAAAATAAGCAACAGAGAATGAATAAACATCAAAAACGTATTATAATAGTTAGCATAATGCAGAGATGGTTAATAATTCATTAAAAGAAACATTCGTTAACCCTTTTAAAAATACATTATACTAAAATCTTCAAATGATTGCACAAAGAAAAGAATCTTACTGACAAGGTCAGACAAAAGATCGTAAACCATCATTAGTATTATGGTTAATCTCTTGTAAATTCTCATTGTCATAATGCACAAAATGCAATTCTCATTACTGTAGTGCAAGAATAAAGTATATATACAGCATGGTAGCATTTGTTGTACATCCTTTTGTACTTTTCTGTCATTTAATTTAACTTCAAAATCACAATTATAAGAATTACAAAAAGAACTCAAAAGAAAAACTTGCAGGTGCATTACAGTAATGAGAATCTGGGTTTCAGAGACTTTTGTTTTAAGCAGGATATAATGAGACCCGTATGATGAAGCATAAAGTGTAAGTGTAATACTTATCAACTTTAAAACATTACATTTAAAGCATTGTTATTCATAGTTGTGCTTCACAAACTTTTTTTAATCAAAGCCGCCTCAAGGCCCAAGCATAACACCATGTCCCTGCGAGAGTGTGTGCTGTCTGTCTGTCTCACTGTTCCTGTCTGAGCTCTGTACAGAGGTTTCTGTACTATTTCTTTACTTATCTATATTGCTATTACAGGCAGATGAGAGACACAGTAGCTCAGAGAAACAGAAAGATGTGATCGACAGTAGACTCGAGAAGGCCTGACTTGGCTTCGAGACGTGGAGTGAATTACATAGACAGCCTCCTCATGCTGTGATTGGTTATTCGGTCTTGTCACTCTTTCCAGCCTCTGCCCCAGTGCTTCTGGAGCTCTGATTGGCTTCCTTGTCTTTCGTTTTGGCATCTTTGCTGTCAATTAAAGCATGTTCACGCTTCACCATCTCTTCCAGCTCTGCCTGAAACAAGAGGGGTGACATCTCATGCAACAAACACGGTTCAAGTTCAAAATATATTACTGATAAATATATTAGTAATATATTAAATATATTACTGATTTAAATAAAAGGTTACACTTTATTTTTAATGTGTCCTTGTTACAGTGTAATTATATATTTGAATACTGAGTAACTACATGCACTTATTACAGCGGGTAAAATAAGTATTGAACACGTCACCATTTTTCCCAGTAAATATATTTCTAAAGGTGCTGCCGACTTGAAATTTTCACCGGATGTCGGTAACAACTCAAGTAATCCATACATACACAGAAAATAAAATAAGTTCAGAAATTAAGTTATGTGTAATAAAATGGAATATTGGCCTAGGATTACTTGCATGTAACTATGCATAATTAATTGTTATTATAATAGTAAGTACATGTAACGTGTAACAAGGACACCTTAAAATAAAGTGTTACCAAATAAAATGTCAGATCAGTGTGTGAATATGCCTGTATTTACTTTCCAGCCCAGCAGTTCGGCGAGAGCCATGCAACCGTCATCACAGGTGCTCAGGTAAGCCACATCTCTGTGAACAATTAATAAAAATCAATACAATCTTCTCAGACCCCACTAACACCTGTACGCATATTCACACCATTTTTAAAGTTTGGAAGACTTAATGACTTAATGTTAATTTGTAAGAATACAAATGTATGTTTTTTTGAACATTTTATTCACTTACGGTGCATTAAATTAATTGAAAACTCTTTTAATGATAGGCGTTTTCACACTTGAGGGCCTTTCACACAATATTTTATATATTTCAGATAAAATTAATCATAAATTATTGAATAATTCATTCTGTGTTAACTAAGTTTAGCATCCTGTTATATACAGTAAATAGTAAGTCATGGGGACACAAATGGCACCATTTTGAGAGAATGACCCATATATTATTCCTTTGTAAAATCAGTATCATGTCAGGATGAGTTTGAATAGTTTTGGTGTTCTTTTTTGGTCAGAAATTCATAATGCCTGTGAATAGGCCTAAAGAAACCAAACTGTTTAACATGATATACCAATCATATATTGGTATATCCAATACTTGGAGGCCTCACCTGTAGGCTTTGTCTGAGTCAAAATCCATTCCTCCTCCAAAACCAAATAACCCCATGCCAAATTCTGACTGTTTGAGAAAGAAACAATGCAAAAATGTAACTGTAAAAATGACTTTGTTTTATTAAAATGTTTATAATAATTATACATTTATTCAGCTACAGACCTGTCCGGTTTTCTCCATATTGATGAGCAGTCTAGGACAGCTGTTTGACACTCTGCAGATGAGACAATGAATGAGTCAGAGATATAAAAACTCCATAATCACAGACCTACATATGTTGTGCAGAATCATTGCGATATGTGTTAAATATAGTTTCAGCTCTTTTACCTTCAAAAATCTTTTACCTTATTTTACCTTATCTACATCAATTCCACAGCATTTCCTCCAGAATCAGCACAGAAAATGTGAAACAATCTTAAGATTTTGTGGGGCCCAAAGGATACGTAAAGACATG